TTTCCGCTCTCGTAAGGGGGGACGAGTAGAAAAAGGATTCACCGCAAGATTCGAGCAAACACTACACTTCGAAGGATTCACATGCATGGGTGCTTCATAGCTGTTCCGTTTCGTAGGAAATCGTTCTGCAAGAAACAAGATAAAATGAAAAGGAGGAACCGCTGTCAAGTAAGCCGCGGGACGTGCTTTTCTAGATGCGCCATGTATCTGATTTCGATCCAGAATCGCAGCGAAGTGCGCACACATTTGGACCGGTATGTGGAGTCATTCACAATCCCATGCTCAAGGGGTCGAATTCGCCCAGGTAGACCAGACCTCGGTGACAATCGGTAAGCGAAGAGAAATGCAATTGAAATAGTCGGACGGAGTGAGTAGCTAGCACCGGCAAAACTCAAGTGAAGCCTCGATCCTGGCAACGGTACCGCTTCCCATTGCACCAACCTGCCTGTCTAAAGTAATAAGGAAGAAAAAAAGGAGGAGGAGGATTTGGACAGGATTTCGAGTGGAGAGATGTTGATTCGACCTCCTCGCCATGAGATTGTCCCCAATTTTTTGGATAGCAATCGCGAAACCCGAAACTTGTCAAGGAGTTCACCGCCTAGGACGATCACTCAATGAAACGACTTCAAAATATTACATGGAGGTTAAATGAAAAGGTTTTCAAGAGCATCTTTTGAAATGCAACTGGATATTATCCAGTCTGACAACAAAGGTCAACAAGATCCCCACTTGCAATGAGGTATACATCACTCTAAAATTATCTTGAGGGCCTGAACTCTTCACGGAACTAACTTCATCCAAAGACTCATTCCAGAAATATTGAAGAGAACCCTGCAGGCACATTCCGCGGTAGTACTAAGGCTATAACCTCACAAATGTATCAGATGATCCGGTAAGCGACTGTCTTACATCTAAAAGGATGCAAGTTCGCAGGGATTTTGGTAGAAGCTGAACAGTTAGGCCCATGAGCATCGCTTATCGTTAAGTCCATGCTACGTCCCCGGGCTACTATCTAGTTAGTTACCTCTGAGTTAGTTACCTACTACCTAGTTAGTCTAGTTACTCCTCTACCAGCTCCTCTTTTTACGAATGGTGCGAGTGAGGTGATAATGGAAAAGAGCTGATATTGTTATGATAACAGCAAAAGAGAGTTAGCAAGAACGCGCCTTCTATTACTGTGAGCAGGTACAAGTTGGCATCGGCAGATCTCTCATAAGGCATTTTGGACGGTTCTTCTGCTTTTTTCTCCATTACTCAGTTCCTTAGCACCCTGTCATCCAAATCTGAGCTCCATTCCTCACAATCCTCACAATATGGGACCACGGGCTTTGCCTTCAATTGTAAGGTCTCAAGTGGAAGGAAGTGGGACCATTTTGAGCCCTCACCTGTGATGGCAGACGACAAGCTCATGCAGGGTGTTTGTAATGGAAATCATCAACAGAATGGTAAGCTATGCAAACGAGTCAAGCGAAACACGAGTTAATAAAGGGGTTGGGATGATAGACAGGTCGTCAGCGTGTATCCGCCGCTGTCGACCGCCACGACTCAGTGTCCTGATTAGAAATAGAAATTGATTTCCAGGGACATAATTCCACCAGAATATCACGCAATGCCGCGATCCAGATGGAAAAGTGAAATTTTCAGCTGAAGAGAGCCAACAGAGCCCAGTAGCGAGGCGTTTTATTAGCTGTGAACGGCCCGTTAGCGTGAAAAAAATACCGAAATCTGCTTGTTTAGCTGCTCCATAGGTGAGCTAGTGCATACAACACAAGAAACATAGAGAGAAGGCATTATTTTTGTTTTTTTTTCTTATTGGCATTAGAATGAGGTGGCTTCTCACAAAGCACTCGCAATGTCCTTTAGGCTACTCTTACCAAGAAAAAGCGAAAGTGTCACATTTCATAGAGACAACAAAACTGAAAAAAGCTTCCTGATGTCTAGTAATTTTGATGGTAAGGGAATAAAACGATAAGGGTTGATTGTTCCCTTCATGAAAACCCAGCCGCAGCTCCTTTCACAAGATCATCAGAAACTTTTCTCCACGCCTGCGGGTAGGAAACTTCCAGCAAGCAGAGTGTTTGGCGGTGGACAGGCAAGCAGTCGCAATTGGCAGAGAAAATTTCTTCACGAACGAATGATTCCACCTGTTTCAAGACACACCACAGATGGTTGGAATCTTCGGGGGAGGGGGAAGGGCTCAGATCTGCGCTTGATTTACAGTTGACATGGTCACAATCCGAGGGGAGGGGTGAATTATGAGGCGTGAAATTTCCTATCAGTAGTGGTCGGGAAACCCTCCTCAGGTAGGAAACAACCGGCAGTAGAGGCTGCGTTCAGACTTCGCGACGGCAGCGCTTCAGTCGCGCGTTCGATCGATGCGCATGCTTTCAACTGCATTGATCGCGTCGAACGCGCGACCGAAGCGCTGTCCGTCGCGAAGTCTGAACGCTGCCAAAGCGCCGCTGGTGGGCTATTTCCAAGGCTCTTGACACTGTCCCGTCGGCTCACGAGAGATGACAAAGTAATATCGACGTCAGAGAAACCTAGCTGAGACTCCGGCAAAATAGCCTCATCTTATTCGAAGATCAAGAATGGGCCTGAATTTAGATTTTTGCAGACCTGAGCTGTTCTTTGACATCGACCTGGGTTCCTTCTAACGCTGTGGTGCAAGTGAGATTCAAATAGGTGAGGATTATCGAAGTCTAACCGACACGCTTAACTGCTAGCTTCGGACAGTTTACTGCGCTCCGTGTATACAAGGAAGAGCTGGTGGCCCCATTGAGCTGGTTATTGAATGGATAGACCAGTCACCTAATCCATCACTAAACAATCACAACTGAGCTGCTGTTCATCTGTTGGCAAAGCTCGTTCTGAACAGGCATTGTCGGGAATTAGCATGGCCACTAGCATACAAAAGTAAATAAAGGCAGGCTCGAAGATGCTCTCCTCGAAGTTCGTAATGTGCTCCAAAGCATAGCATATCATAGTCGTGAAGTCATCTCCAGTTCTCGAGAATTTCTTTTTTTTCGGAAAGTTTGCTGTGCTGCCTCTGCATTTTCTCATACCTTCCAGGGGTCTAGGAAGACAACTCTTTAGTAACTCTTTCCCGGAGGGAAAGAGGATCCGATCGCTGCTTACTTGCCAAGTATGTACGAAATGGTGGCTTTATCTAGTCTCATGTGAGGCTATTTTGAGTCCTTACCTCTCAGTTACTGCTGAAAATCAACTTGTAAACCACAAAAACTTATCTAACTTATTGATCCGTTTCCTTTCGAATATCCTTTTTATTTAGTGTCTTGCGGGGTATGGTGGATCTGTGATCATCTGTTCTTGACTTGTGAGACTCATTCCACGCTGATCGTATGGGCGGAAAAACTTAGAGGCGCTGCGTCTTCCTTGTTGATGTGTTTCTCGCCTTTGTCATCTTAGGACGAGGGACTCTTCGATAAGGAAGGGGAACTTATCCGGGCTGTGCTCATGAAATCAGCGTGGAAGACTGTAGGGCTTGCTCGTCAGCCTTACAATTCTTAGACTATGGAAATCACAGTTACACTATGTAACAACACGAACTTCCAGTGAGAGAATCTCATTGTCTATGTGAACACATCAACTTTAACGAAAGTATCATCCAAATCACAATTCTCACCATATTCACTGAGTCCGTCGTCGTAACGGAGGCTCACTCTCCGCGCGAAAGCGTTTACAGTGGCAGCTTGCGACAGGGACTGCATAGACGGTGTAATGGTATGGTAAGGCCAGTCACATTCACCACCACATCACTTGCGTTCCACAGAATGCTGTGCCAAATGGGTGCCTTCGTGGCAAGAATCTCATCGTCGACGATTTCCTCATACACTCGTGCTCTCACCGACAGATGTGATTCTCGGGTGGTCACAAACCACGGGTTACCGTACACGATACTTGAACTCCATGGGCCCTCGCTTACCATTCGGAAGCAGCCACAGCAAGCAGAGCAGGCTAGACGAGATAGCGGGACGTTCAAAGGGAGTGGGGGTCCGGTATTAGGGCTGCCCCAATGAGTAAGTATTTATCAGAAAACAATATTGCTACAAAAGGTCTCATGCAGACGAGCCACATCATCCGCTGTGCTAAATACAAGGGGGGGGAGATCATAATTGGCCTTTGGAGAGGGCTATAATCCTCAGCATTCCTAGTTGCCATCACAGCATTACGTTTTCTGGTTAGTTATCAGATTGTATGCCTCCTCCCGCTTGTTCGACGCCTCCATTCGAATTTTTTTGAGAAAAGTTGCGTAAAAGGGGTTGTAAGGGGAGGGTGGGAGAGGCGCACTGGCTGAGCGGTTTGGGGCACGGTGCAGTAAAGATTTTCAAGAAACCTCAACAACTGATGGTGATATTCTTTGGCGAAAAAATGTACAGTCGTCATCCTTGCACTTGATAGGGGCGTGTCGGCGAGAAGGAGCGTGCACACTGTTTGAAGCCTTCTCAGCCTTTTCGTTGAAACGCGTATGCGACAAAAAGTGATAGAAAACGAGTAACACGAAGGATATAATACAGTAATGTCACTCTCTGGTTCAACGATTGGTGCAGTACGGGTGCTGACGACCGCGCCGCACGCAGCCGCACTGACATTGACTATCAAGTGCAAGGATGACGACTGTAGAAAAACTGCGTTGAACTTACTCGATTGCAAGGTCCTGATCACAACGGGCTCACAAAATTCGCCCTGCCCTCGAGCTGAGATCGCTGCGACTCTGAAAATGAAGTGAGGAGAGGGCGCCTGGATATACAACCCCTTTTCTAATTTTTGCGAAGAAGGTTCATAAAGTAAAGTTGCAACAACTAAGTAGGAAAAAATAGTGCCTACCGAAATGCATAGGTCGTATCCGGCTCAAGACCCATAACGATGTGCTTCTCGTGGGGAGATGCCAACGTGTACTCTTTCTCGCCGTCGGTGGAGTTGAACCACACAACGTATCCTGAATAGTTGTTTCAAAGCTAACCGCTCTCTGGCAAATTTTTCGATTTGATTGAAGACGTAATCCACAGTGGTCGTGTGGGCGGAGTCGGACCCACCATCTACCATCCTACATATTCACAATTCTGATTATCATTCCGCGATTTCTGGGATCGCTAGGAACTGGGTATCTGATTCAAAATGCTTCCCCAGATAGGAAAAAGTGAAGAATCGCAGTGGAAACCGTGGTGAAAAGTGAATTTCTATTGGCTGGAAACTACTCGGTGGCGCTCCGATTTTCCTTGAAG